ATCAGGCCGACACTGGCGTATGCCTACACTGCGTGGGGATATGCGGTTGAGTGCCACTTGAATAGACTTCAGGCCACAGAAAACAAACTTCTGCGGATGGCTATAGATGCGCCCTGGTTTGTTAGAAACTCCCAAATCTACAGGAACCTGGAGTGGGAGCCACTAAGAGAGTTTCTCGCAAGGAAAGCGAAAGCAGACTTCGAGAAAGCTGGAAGGCACTCCAACGAAGAACTGCGAAACACTCCTGAAGATCTGGGACCCAGGAAAAAAGGGCCCAGACACCAACTAGCCCAGTAGGGCAGCAGGTGGTAGACGGCGCAAGCTGTAGGTGTGCTAATAACGTAGTGTTTGTTGTCAGTAGCATGCATGTTGGAAGTAGTAAGGCGTTAAATTAGTAAGATGCCCATGCTAGCATGGAGAGAATGCGATGCTATGGCATATGGATGCCGGAGCTGACAAGTTCTTAGAGAGGACTACAAATTTCAAAGGATAACTCCCGAAAACTCGTAGTACACAAAGGAGGTTTTTAGTTAGTAAGAATCCAACACTACCCAGGGTTCGGATCACTGGGTGTCTTCGCAAATATTTTTATTCATCCAGCCGCCGGACAAACAAAAAAAAACCTCGATTTAGAAAGCTTAGTTCATATCTGAAGTTAGAAATAGGCACCCTAAACATGGGTGCCTATTTCTAACTTCAGATATGAAAAAATATTTTCTAACACTATTTCTAGCTATTGAACGGGATTATTAATTACATATCAAGTGCTTGAAAAAATTCCAAAAACTTGATAAAAGTTCAGTAAATTTAATTTAAGCTCGATCCCAATATCTGAAAGCTGAAAGTAGAACAACTACAGGATGTTGAAAAAATCTAGAGCAAACTGCCTAAACTTGGCGAATAGACTTCAAAGGATTGTTTGTCATGATTATTATATATTTCATTTGCTTTATTCTTTTGGAACTATCTGATCGAATATCGAAGTATAATTCGAAGGAGACGTTTTTCATTTCTTTCTGAGATATTAAATGTGACTGAGAAACACTCTATTCTTTATGGGTTTTAAGGGTTTCTTGTTGCAATTGAAGCCGATTCGACTGTCTTTAGATAGGGCAAATGATATTCATTTAAAAATCACCGCGGCCAATTTGGTCATATGAATTCATCATAACGGAACTGGTTTTGAAACCATTGACCACTGTG